CGGAACATTGAGAAGATACTGTATTACAAACAGCATGAAAATCCAATTGGAACACTGGGAACGTAGAAGACTGGTAGTCAATGATGGAACTATAGCTCACCAGATGTGCAAGTAAAGCTCATTGATGCCCTCGGTAATGTCTCGCATAAGAATGCTTACAATAGGTGTTATATATATATATATATATATATATATATATTGTGTGTGTGTGTAAGTGTGTAAGCGGAGACGTTTTTTGAAAGCTTGAGCAAAGTGTGTCTACCAATGTGAATTCAGCAAACAGTGCTCGGACTGTATACCGGTGCTACGTACAGGTAGTTAGCATCATTAAAATGTAGGAACCACCACAATTTGCTGTTTCAGATCAAATCCGTGCTGACAACCTGAAATTCTTTTCAAATATCTATCAAGTCTGGCTACAAAGTGACACATACATGGTTGGCGGCATCCGGTTTCGGATATGCCTGTCACTGTGACCAGCCACAGGACGCCTGCGCCTACAGAGCGACCATGGATGGCTTGTGCTGCACCACCCACAGCTCCAACCACATACCCCATATCCAGTGTAAACCCGAAGGAATAAGACCGGGAGGCATGCGGATGGGAACCACGTTTCATCAACGGAGCCGGCCCACACTCCTTCACAGGCAAACACAAGCACGCTGTATTTGGGGAATCAACCGCACACAAGGCAGTGGCTGGACCGTAGTCCGCTCCACACTAACTGCATGGAACCGCTCTTTGAGCCTAGCACGGCCACAAGAACCGTGCACCCCGTTCCCTCCAGCAACGACCAACTGTCTCCTGGAGCCAGTATGAACGATGTGGTGGGTAATAGACAGGTAGGCACCTTGTCAACATACAAATCAAGCGCAGCCACACCAGGGGATATCAAACAACAGCCAATCACTTGAGAGAGAGAGAAAGAAAGAAAAAGAGAAAAACTCGATTAATGCATAAGGAAACGGTGACATAAACCTTAATTAAATGGCATATGTAATAAGTTGTTTACAAACAAATCCTAGCTAAGTGCACGAGGTCAGGAAGTATAGTTCATGGAATGCCACGAACACAAAAATGTTATGGAAATCGAATACAATTGACTTGGGCGAGGTGTGCAAGTTAATGGAATAGAGTACTGGTAGACATTTATATGAGAAAGAAAAGCATTAGGGCACAAACTGTAAACCCACCACCTGAAATAAAGAGACTTCGCATGCAAGCACGCGGTTAGTAAATCGAATTCAGTGGGCCACATGGTTGGCGGCATCCGGTTTCGGATTTGCCTGTCGCTGTGGCAAGCCACAGGACGCCTGCGCCTACAAAGGGGACCATGGGTGGCTTGTGCTGCACCATCCACAGCTCCAACCACACACCCCATTTCCAGTGTAAACCCGAAGGAATAAGACCGGGAGGCATGAGGATGGGAACCACGTTTCATCAACGGAGCCGGCCCACACTCCTTCACAGGCAAACACAAGCACGCTGTATTTGGGGAATCAACCGCACACAAGGCAGTGGCTGGACCGTAGTCCGCTCCACACTAACTGCATGGAACCGCTCTTTGAGCCTAGCACGGCCACAAGAACCGTGCACCCCGTTCCCTCCAGCAACGACCAACTGTCTCCTGGAGCCAGTATGAACGATGTGGTGGGTAATAGACAGGTAGGCACCTTGTCAACATACAAATCAAGCGCAACCATACCAGGGATATCAAACAACAGCCATTCACTTTAAACGACAAGCTGAAATAAAATAAATCCAATAATGCATACAGATACGGTGGCATAACTCTTCGCTAAATTACCATATGAAGTAATTTGGTTAGCAACAAATCCGTGAGAGAACTGAGAACTGAGAACTGGTGGGAAGCAGCGAGTAGAGGTTGCTCTGTGTAGCTGCATCATTCGTCGTTTTCGGACATGAACTCATTAGTTATCGTTTCGCTCTCTGTACTTTGCCTCTGCAAATTGTTGGTCGAGTAATATCTTGAATTTAGACACTGTGTTGGCTTCTACTATATGCTGAGGCAGGTCGTTCCAGATATTCACCACTCTGCGTTCGAAACAGAGTTGATGGGCGACCCGCTTCAAATCCGGGACGATAAGTTTATACCGGTGTCCTCACGTGCAGCTTGGTGTGCGCAGATGAAGTAGTTGTCTCAACATGGGGTAATCACCCAGATGTAATATCCGGTGCGTCATGATGAGGTCAACCCTCAGCCGACGATAAGATAGGGTGTATAACCCTAATTTCTTACATCGGTCTTCGTATGGCATACCTCGTAAGTTGGGAATCAGCCTAGTGGCTACATGCTGCACCCGCTCAAGCTTCTCTACTTCGCCCCGGGTTATGGGACAGTATGCGGGAGTGCCGTACTCTAGCATTGGTCGTATTATCGAGACGAAGAGGCGAGTGTCAATCTCTTCGGACCAAGTGCTAAAGCTGCGCCTGAGAGCCCAAAGCATACGAAGGCTGTTTTGGTACAGCCTATTCGTTTTGTCAATGGACTTTAGGTCGCAGCGTGAGAGTACACCGAGGTCGCGCACGAAAGGAGCGGGATGCAACGGTTGTCCAGCCACTGTGTATGCTCGGCCGTGATCATACTTACCCAACCTCATGAATTGCGACTTGACAGGGTTGATCGGAAGGTTAACCTCTGCAGGCCAAGTCGAGAGGCGCTCGAGATCCTGCTGAAGTAAATCGCAATCATTGAGTGCGCGGATTACTCTCCACACTTTCAAGTCATCTGCGAACAAAGCATAAGGTGATTGTAGTAGCTGAGGCACATCGTTTATATGGATTAGAAACAATATCGGTCCCAGTAGAGTGCCTTGGGGCACGCCGCTGCTCGATGGATTCCAGTCGGTTTGGTGGTTGTCCACCTGGACTCTCCACTTTCGATCAATAAGGAAATTGCTGATCCATTTGTGCAGCGAACCACCAACACCGCACATCCTCAGTCTGTCAAGGAGCACTGCATGGTTAACCTTGTCAAAAGCCTTACTGAAGTCAATGTAAATGACGTCAACCGATTGGCCTTTGTTCAGCGCTTGTAACCATTCGTGCCTCGTCAACAGTAGGTTGGTGATGCACGAACGACCTTTCAGGAAACCATGCTGTGCGGAGGTTAACAGGTTTTTCGACTCGAGAAGTTGCAGAAGGCTCTTCTTCACGATCTTCTCGAGCGTCTTTGCCAAAACTGCCGTCAGGCAGATCGGCCGGTAGTTATCCACTTTGCTTGGGTTACCACCTTTCGGGATAGGCTTTACGACTGAGCATTTCCAGTCGTCCGGTAGTAGACCAGTGGATAGTGACCTGTTAAACAGTTCAGTTACAGAAGGTGCAATTATGGTCGATAATGACTTGAGGATTAGTGGGTGTATACCATCTGGCCCAGCAGGTTTCGTCCCGTCAAGATTTGCTAGAATCTTGCGTACATCCTCAATATTGCAGTCCAGGCTGTTAAGTTCGGCTGGAGCGGTGCTCGTCGAACTCATTACAGACACCTGGTCACTTGCGAATACGGAGGCAAAGTGCGTTGCCAATGCTGACGCACGATCTGTACTTGAGGTTAGAGGCTGTCCTTCTGAGCCTTCTAACACTGGGATATTAGCTATAGGCCTTAGGCGCCGCTTCACATATGCGAAGATCCTCTTGGGAGCAGTTTTTGCGGCAGTTGCAAGCTCCTCTTCGAAGCTTCTGCGTTTGCTTGTTTTCGCCTTGTTGCAGCGATTTCGCTGGACCTTGTAGGCATTGTAGTCCTCATCAGAGCCAGATAACACGAATTTGTTCCATAGTCTACGTCGCCGTCGGGCCATTTTGTTGTACTCTTTGTCAAACCAGTGTGGTTTGACTGGCCCAACTTTCCGAAATTTGAGGGGCACAAATCGGGCGCACAACGATTTCACTCCCTCTTTAATGATAGCCCAACAGGTTTCAATAGATGAATCCTGTGGTAAAGACCAGTCTATCTGGCTCGCTGCTCGAATGAGGCCATTAAAGTCCGCCTTCCAATAGTTGAAGGTTGACTCTAGTGGGAGAGGATACGGTAGCGGTAGTTCTAAACTGCCTATGATCACTGAGTGGTCACTCGCTCCCAGAGGCTCTAAGACTTGAATGTTATGTACACGCTGCTCACAGCTAGTCAACAGCAGGTCTAAGCATGATGGAGTTGCGCGCGCTGTAATGCGTGTCGGTTGGTTGATGTGCTGTGTGGCCGCGGTTTCAAATAGCAACTCCGTAAACTTCCTCTCGACTTCACAGTGGCCGGGGAGAAGTTCAGCTTCAGGCCACTGTATTCGGGGCAAGTTGAAATCGCCCATGAGTAGGAACATCGGACGACTCATGTGGTTGCGGACATGCGGCAACCAGTCCAAACTGCGGCTCAGTGGGCTGCGATATACCACGCCCACGAGCAACTCGCAGCGTCTGAGGTGTATCGAACACCATAACTGCTCACATAGACCATCAGCGCTTTGATAGGCGCTCACTAGTCTCCCACACAAGGAAGACTTTATGTAAAGTAGAACGCCACCGCGATCATTTGATGGTCTATCGCAGCGGAAGCATGAGTAGCCGGTGATTTCCACTTCTTGGACGGTTACGTCGGAGTTTAACCATGTCTCAGCAAGGCCTAATACGTCCGGTCGCTGAGAGCTTACGAAGTCGTACAGCACATCGCGTTTGTTCATCAAACTGCATACATTAGTAAAGGCTACGCGCAGACCGCGGTAGGACCCGCTGGGCGCGCCTGAAGTATTAGCAACCTGTTGATCCGGATTCGTGGAGGAACCCGGGCAACTACTCGAAAATTTACAATACGGAGGTTTGTTTCTCCATCCTCCGTGCGCCGCTTTAGTTCAATCATGGCAGACTTGAGTTTTTCTCTGTCTGCCGGTTCTAAGTCAGCGCGCACGTGGATCTTCAGACCCTTCAGCCTATTAAGGCGAGACAATAGCAACTTGGTACTTGCTTCTTCGACAAATGTCACCCTCATGGGCCGACTTTTGCCCTCCATTCTCTTTCCTAGACGGGCGATCTGCTGCACTTTGAGCCCGTCCTCATTTACATCGAGTAGTTTGTCAATCAATGATTGCAAATATTCGACGTCATGTGCATAACGCACCTGAGGATTAGAATCACCTGACTCAGGTGCGTAAAAGACCATGAGGCTACGGCGCCTCAGGTCATTAGATATTGGTCTTGGTTTCTTCGATGTTTGTACTCTCCAATCGTTATCCTCAGTTTGTTTATTGCAAATTGGAACTTTACTGTCAGCTGAACATATAGTAGGTCTTGAGGGAGAGTCTGATGGAACTTTAGTACCTTGTTTCCGCGATGGATGCGATGAGGTACTAGGCGTTGGCTGCTTCACTGACTGTGGTGAAACACAAGGCGAGCTGGGCATTTTAGAGCACTTCGTTGTGCTGATCCGCTTGTTAGACGTGTCCGTTTTATTCTGCACAAGATTTGCTTGGCATTGCTTACAAACGGTCTTCAAAAATTCGCTCTTAATGCCCTGAATTATACGAAATTGGTCTACAGTCAGACCAACGCACGAAATATGAAGCCTTGCGCTGCAGAGACTGCATGAAATCGCATTAGCTCTATGTCCGACGATCTTGCAGCAAATTCCACAAGGAGACTGCTTCGTCATTTTAAAAATAACTACGATCGATACGAGCAAATGGGTGTAATTAAGAGATACAGAAGTTATGCTGAATTATTACAGATAGTTACGAAGTATAACGCTAAATGACTAGCTAGAATTAATTATGTGAACTAGAGGACGACACTGTTATAACAATAAAATCAACGAGATAAAATTGGTCTAACAGGATAAGGGCACGCTACCACTAAGATCGAAAAATCGCTAGGAGGACAAAAAACAAGAAAATTACGGCAAATATATATCTAAATATATCACCGGAAAACGCAGAATCAAATATTATATCGAATTATATGACTCACGACAAGATATAACAATATATGACACAATAATAATGAAAAAACTGGCCTGAGAGAGGAGCGAACGTTTTTTCAAACCGAAGGCTGTGGCCTTGACCTTGATGATAAGTAAGAAATGTCCACAAGTTATTTAAAATGCTACAAACGCAACAAGATTACCGAAGATAAGCGCAATTAATGTAAGCAACATGGCCAGTTAATAGAACATTATTCAGGGAGGCAGAACAAACCAAATAAAGCGGAATGAAATTTAGCCAGCTTAAAAAGACCTAGTTTAAGGTTAAATTGGTTTAGCCCAACTGCGGTGAAGAAGCATCAAGAACGCAACATCAGCCTCAGCATGGGGCAGACACATACATGGTTGGCGGCATCCGGTTTCGGATTTGCCTGTCACTGTGGCAAGCCACAGGACGCCTGCGCCTACAGAGGGACCATGGATGGCTTGCGCTGCACCACCCACAGCTCCAACCACATACCCCATATCCAGTGTAAACCCGAAGGAATAAGACCGGGAGGCATGCGGATGGGAACCACGTTTCATCAACGGAGCCGGCCCACACTCCTTCACAGGCAAACACAAGCACGCTGTATTTGGGGAATCAACCGCACACAAGGCGGTGGCTGGACCGTAGTCCGCTCCACACTGAGTGCATGGAACCGCTCTTTGAGCCTAGCACGGCCACAAGAACCGTGCACCCCGTCCCCTCCAGCAACGACCAACTGTCTCCTGGAGCCAGTATGAACGATGTAGTGGGTAATAGACAGGTAGGCACCTTGTCAACATACACATCAAGCGCAACCATACCAGGGATATCAAACAACAGCCATTCAATTTAAACGACAAGCTGAAATAAAATAAATCCAATAATGCATACAGATACGGTGGCATAACTCTTCGATAAATTACCATATGAAGTAAATTGGTCAGCAACAAATCCGTGATAAGTAAGAAATGTCCACAAGTTACTTAAAATGCTACAAACGCAACAAAATTACCGAAGATAAGCGCAATTAGTGTAAGCAACGTGGCCAGTTAATAGAACATTATTCAGGGAGGCAGAACAAACCAAATAAAGCGGAATGAAATTTATCCAGCTTATAAAGACCTAGTTTAAGTGTAAGTTGGTTTAGCCCAACTGCGGTGAAGAAGCATCAAGAATGCAACATCAGCCTCAGCATGGGGCACATACATAATGGCGTCCTAATAAGCGGTGTTGCAGATGACACCTTTGATGGAGTTGACCAAAGGAAAATTGTTGCACAATTGTGTGAGGTAAGCAGAAACACGTCAGAATGCACGGATGAATGGGTTTCACGCGTGATCACTCACATCAATGTTCCAACGATATGGGGTCACAAATAGTACGGTAGTACGGTATCACAATAATAAACGTGAGATGGCTCACGCTGGTGTTCAACCAGTATAAGGTCACGGACCACTCGACATGCAGCGTCACGTGTTCCATACGCTTTACCAAGCAAAATCTGGTACATTCGGTGAGCCGGATGAATTGACGTTGCGGGCCGTAGTTTGGTGACTCATGGTCTGCGGGTATTTATGGAAATGAGGCTCAATATACCGGCGGAGGGAGGTTAACTAATTCGGGACGAATATTTTGGATTAGCAAATGAAATATTAACATGTATCGCGGGCTCGAAGTGTGTACTCAGTCCTGTTGGTTGAGAGACTTTCAGGTAACGGGGATGATCTAGCAAGTTACCTTATTTTTCTGTACAATAGAAATCTGGAACTCATCAACAAATATTCATGAGTGGACCACCAAGTTAAGTTCCTCGGTGTTGGATTTTCGTTAAATACCGAACGGTTGATCAAGTCACGTAAGACCCACCACAAGTTTGTTTATCTCGCGTGCCTGGTAGAAGACACTTTGAGCGTCAACAACGCTTGGGAATTAAAGCAACGCGTGTCCTGCCGGGAAATCAACAACAATCAAAATCGGAACCGAAATAACCGAGCAATTAAACAAAGTAATCATAGAAAAATGGGCAATACTATAACGCTTCCAAAACTCAAATGCACCGTGAGGTCCTACAATACAAAATCAATCCTTAGGTCAAATCTTCAAGCCGATCCGTGAACCCAAATACAAGCACCTCATCTCATAGTGAAACATGTAAAAGTCCACCGGCTCATCATGCCATCTGACCAATGGCAATGTGCGGTCGCAGACCAATGCGGCTCTAATTCGATCAATTCAAGATCGCCTCGTTTGTCAGGAACACAACACAAGAATTAGCGTAATAGTGAGTGGATGTCAAGGTCACTGGAAGTGAAATATGACTGAATGGGTGTAGGTACACAGAGACACGGTGGTAAGGCAGGCGGGACAGAATGTAGTTCAAACAAGAGATGATACCGTTGACTAGAATGAAGCGGAATTCGGACACAGGAGAAAGATAAATAGTGAAACGACAAACTAAGCAATGTCGCTGAGGAACAGAGTTCATGCGGGGGTTGGGAAAGCGTAAATGTTGGACAGATGGGAAACTCCGATTACAGACATGCTGTTCTCTGTGCACCTATAACTTCCATTGTTACCGCGTATGCACCACTAAACTCCGCTGCCTACTTAACTTACGTTTGACACCGTAGCTCTCCGCCTTTGACTGGAGGTCTTAACATGTATAGCGCTGATGCTTCTTGAACAATGTTTGACAATTGAGTCTCCGATGTATCACCACCACAGATTCGGACACTTTTCCATTATATTTCTATAGGCATTTTGAACACATCTATTCTTAGGACTTATCCGCTTTTCCTGCTAGGCAAAAAAGCGTCCGCGTGCTTCTTTCCGTTCTCATTCGTAGTACACCTGGAATGGCCAACTTTCTTGCGCCGCACAACATTTGTCTTATAACCGGCCTCTCCTGACTACGGAAGCCCAAGCACCTAAGGACCGCCAGATCCACTGTTTATTTTTCTCCGTTTACTACTCGTAGGTATCATTATTTCTTAACCGCCTCTTCATTGTCCAGACAGCTGCATGTCTTTTGTTCATTTAATTCGCCGCTATAATCCACCGCGGCTAGTCGGTTTTCATCCGCCGATTCCCCATAATCACGAATTACATGTCTCATCTATCCGTCATCAGTCTAGGTAGTGTTCGCCACTATCTATTTACCGGCACCTGGTATTAGCCTATTCGCACTCGCATTTTTCCTTCACATAATACTCCATCGCAGTCATACTAATCATATCCACTGAAAAAGATCCCAAATAACAATTTACGTGAACTGTGTACAAATGAGATACAATTCATCCATTTGGTTTGGTTTCAACACCAGTACCGTCACTTGAGCCTTCTCCTGTTACATTTGCATGCTCTACTTTGTCTTTATTTGCTTCCTCATCATCTTTCCTGATATCTACAACGAAGGGTCGAATGAACTCAGCTGACCGTCCTTAGCCACCAGAATGATCTGACGACCGTCCTTTGCGAATGAAGGAAGCTTCCACTTATTCAAATCGGACGGAACGTTCATTTGGAAGATCAGCCACTTTGTAAATCTATTGATTTTACCAGAAACAATACAATCTCTGCAAAAACCTTTTGTTCCGAACAATTGCCCATATTTGGAGGATCATAATCACAACCATAGATAATTGATACCGTCAATCGAAAGTTTGCTTAGTTACATGCTCCAGATTAGCACTCTATAGTAAGTTCGGAATCGCAAAAGAATTAGGCTCCATCCAAGCTAGTCTCGTCTAGTTGTAAGAACAATAGAATTGGAATTCTAGGTTCACGGGTATACATTCTAATTCAATTGGTAAAAGCAATAGCAGCAATCAATCATTGAGTATTGTATGTACAATCAGCATGTCCTTCGCAGCTTAAATGTAACCTTCAAGTTTGTTAACAAAATGATTCCGGAGGAAGAAGGTAAATCATTCCCACTAAAATAAACTACGTCAGCGGTTCCCAAAACAAACATGTTCGACCTCAATGGTCTGGATTTACACAGTTAAGCGGGTGTATCTCCAGGGATGTGGAATGCACACGGTTACGGTATTGAAGAAGGATGTTATCAGAACAGCGATCAAGTACATCAAAAGAAATAGAAGAACAAGAGGTAACAGAACGCTTTAAAGTTGCAGCAAACTTTTCAGCTAGACACTTAGAGCATGGACGTCGTGGAGCAGTAAAATGCTGACGACACCTAAGACTCTGCAACCAAGTGGTAACAGTTTAAGCTAAAAACTTTGAACGGTTGTCAATTACAGCAGCTGACAAGCTTCCTTCCCTATTAACAACTTTTCTCAAGACACGGAGAGCAAACTCAGCACTTGGTTTGTCAGTCAGGAATACTTCCGGCAACTTTGAATAAGCATCCACCACCACAAGTGCATATTACTTCTGTAGAAATGGTCCGCAATAATTCATATGTATCCTGTGCCAGTGTTCGCATGTAGTCGGCCATCGCGTCCACTCGAATGGCAGCTATAGAACCTTGTGCTTACATTTCGGGAACTCAGAAGCAGTTCGTCGAATATCTGCATTTAATTCAGACCACCAGCACAATCATCTAGCTACGGATGTCATCTTTTCAACACCAAGATCGTCAGATTGTATATCCGTCAAGACATCAGACCTCAAATTCCGCGGGATAAGGACACGGTTATCTATACACAGTAATTCATCAGGCGTAACTCACAACTCTTCAAGACTCACATAAAAGCGTAAAACTTCCGTTTTGGAGAAACAGACACTCTTCGTTTGACAGCAGAAATCAACCACCTGTAATAATTTCTAGTATTCCTGATAAGGGCTAAAAGAGAGATTAGAAGCGACTGGATGAGTAAACAACTCATTTCAGAATCGGCTTCGAATACCGTTGCATTTCGCGATAAGTTGTCGACGTGAGGAATGAACTTTGCACTTCTGTGTTCAAGCACA